CAAACTATGTATAATATACTTAAACATGATGTAATATGATTTAGCCTAAATTTAATATAGTATAATATAGTGTATTCTAATTTTTATTATATACATATATATATATATATATCAGGTTCCAACTCGAATCCTGGTTCTTGCAAGGAACCCTAACTTTGGCTTCCGAGATCCCTGCAGTTATCTTCTTCACCGGCGGTTCTCAGAACTCTTGCATATGGCACCGCGAGTCTGGTTTCGGAGTATCGGTTGTAGGGCTTCGGACATCGGCGATCGGTCGAAGGGGACTTCGCTAAACAGCTGACTCCAATTTTTCCAGGAAGCCATGATTTGAGGGCTGACTCAGAGGTCCAGACCTTCAAGCTTTCCTTCAATGTTCAGGACATGCGAGTGGTTTTGTTTGGTTTAGGGACGTGTAACCGAGCCTCACGTCAACCTGGGTTGTACTCGGGCTTTAAGTCAGCAGTGCAGGAGTCAGGCTACGATTCCGCTACTCCGTGAATAGACCCTTGCATAGACCCAGGCTCGAATCGACAATCCCCAAGTGGTACTCGCACCGCCCCAATGCTTGAACGCGTCAGGGTCTCTGTCAGTTTAAATCTTGAGCCCACAAAATAGAAAATCACTTCAACCGACAAGGATCCTGCCGAATCTTAGCTCTACCTCCCCCCTTTTCCAAAAACAACACATAAGAACTCCTAATTAAAGCCTTTCCGTAAACACATCAGTCTGCTGAGAACATAATGAGAAGGTTGACCTGTCTAGCGGTTTTTTGCTCCCACGACTTGAGTCTGAGTAGGTCACTAACAAAAGCCCTTAACCCTAACCCCCCAACCCTATAGGTTCAGGGTTTAGGGTTATACACCCTAAATCCTGAATCCTAGATCCTCGCACGGCACAGGTGGCCAAGGACACCTTTCTCGGATCGCTTCCTCCTGGGTCCCCCTTCACAGCTTTTGGGGTTTAGGGTTTGCGGTGGAAGGTTTAGGGTAAAGGGTTTGGGGCTTAAGGTTCAGAGTGCAAAGTGATAAACCCTGAACTCTAAGCTCTAGTTGTTTAACCCTAGGGGATTTGTTTCCTGGATCTGAGGTTTTGCATGGGGCTTAGTGTTGATGGTCCGGGTCTTGGACTTCAGGGCTTAGGATAAAAAGGGTTTAAGGCCTAAGCCGTCTCTAAACATGACCCCAGGTATAACCCAGCTTCCACAAACTTTTTCGGCTGGAACCTCAGAGGCCCCTGGAGGTGAGTTAAGGTCTGCTAGATATGTGTGAGAAAGGAGATCAACACCAGGATCCTGCTGCACCCTACTGGTCCAGGTACCTGTATGGTATACACTTTGTCCTTGAAGGGCTTCCTACGCAGGTGCTTGAAGGTCAGGATGTATACGGTGTTTGGTACATAGACCCTTAGGGGTACCTCAGTTCCGGGATCCTGATGTCCCAAATCCCATTTCAAAGAAGGACAACCCGAAGCTGAAACCTGAAGTTTCACAACCCGAAGCCCTAAACCACTCAGTCCCTCCAGCCGCAACTCCTAGCCAGGCCAAAGCCTCTTCCAGAGGGTGAGATCTTGGAGGCCGTCGGGTTGAGGTTTAGCAAAGTCTGTACATTTTGGGTTCTGGGCCAGGGGGATCGTTCACGAACTTCAGGATTTTCAGAATAGCATCGCAACGTGAAACAGATTGCGTGGGGCCGGGGGCGGCGGCTTTGGCGGCGGCGGTGGTTATGTTTGCGTGTAAGCAAGACTACTTCTGGCGCAGCTCCATATCAACCATTATAATCAGCAGAAGACGGATCATAATTATCACGCTAGCACTCCAAATCGCAACAGCGACGCAACGTGCAAAGTTCCACAGTTCAACTAATGGACTGCAAAACTGCATTATACGTTGCCATTACGATAGAAGAATAAGAATAGAATTGCTGATGCCCACAACAAACACCCTGTTCAGGCAGAATCTCCGGATGCGTGGCCTCTCAGGCCCACTTCCGGTTGCTATTGGGGGCACGTGCGATTGGAAGCTTCTGGCGCTTTGCGGTTGGCTTTGAGGTGATACGGTCATTCTGGCCGTGAGTCTCAGGATTTGGGCCTCTTTGATCTCACGGCATCCTCGGAATGGACGCAAAGGGGCCTCAAAACAGCCCCCGCCACCCACTGCGGATTGCTAAGCCGAAACCTTCTCGCCATGGCCTGCAGCCTGAAATCCTCAAGCGCAGCGAGTGTAACTTTCCTGGACTCCAACCAACCTCGGTCCAAGTTTTGGCAGTAGTCTGCGTTGTAGTTCCTGTTTTTGCTTGCCTCGATCTTGCTCTTCTGGGATCCAAACCGCTAAGCTGGTTGGCCCCACCAAGGAACCACTGCAGCTACTTCGTGCAGGTCCCTATATTCGAGTTCAGGGGGCGATTCACAACTACCCGACACTCTATAGTATCTATAGAACCCAAACCCTGAACCCTAAACCCTACATCCTAAGCCTAAATCCTAAGCCCTAGCCCCAAACTCTCTAAATCCTAAATGCAGGCTTCCGGTTCGCCTAGAGCCTGATACTCCGGAGACGTCCACGCGCGGTGGCAGCTGGCTCAGGGCTGCTTGTGGTTTAGGATTCTAAGGGGGGGTGGGGGGGTGGCTTGGCCTTCATGGATTTAGAATTTAGAGTGTGTGAAGACAGCGCCTGAAGGGTGTTGTAGACATGTCAAGACATGCAGCTACATGTACAGCTTGGCACCCGAACGCCGACGATGGCTCAAGCATGCGGAAAACAGCCTATCCGATTTGCTCCAGTGCATTTGCACTGGTAGCGGAGCTTCAAGCTCCGGGCCTTTGTGCCCCTCCATGCGCGATGGCCTCTGGCTCAGTGCTGGATGGACTTCGCTTTCAGCGCTTCTTGGCAGATGAGGATGCCACGGGAGCGAACACCTCCACCACGGAGGGCCGGTACGGAGTACCAAGATACAACGGAGACCCCACCAGACTCAATGAGTGGATCTTCCGGGCGAGGACCCTGGAGAGGAAGGAAGCATCTTCTGCAGAAGAGCCGAAGAAGTTTGGACCTCTCACACTGAGGCTGATTGAGTGCTTCTCTGGCCAGGCGCTCAAAATAGCTCAGGGCCTCGACATGGCGAAGCTCGAGAAGGCCGACACCGGCCTCACCTACCTCATCGACGCCCTCACGGCGGAGCTTCGACCTCGACGACTTCAGCAGGCGAGAGAGCTCTACGAGGCAGGAGCACA